AAACATCGCCACTCCCAAGATAGAGACTTTAACTTAAAAAAAAAAAAAAAAAAAAAAAAAAAAAAAAATTATTGCTAACAAGTTATAATATATAAATAAAATTTAAGAGGTAAAGGGTATAAAAATAGCAAATTTAATAGTTAAAAATTGCCAGAAGTTAATATAGTTTTTCTATAGGTTGAAATGCAGCTAGCTTACAATCAAAAGTTTTTTTAAGCCAAGTAAACCTTTCTTGAGCTTCTAACAAAGATTATAAAACAAATGATTCCAGTTCTAATAGTAATAGAATTATCCAAATTGGTTTGTTAAATCATGAGTTATTGGCATTTTCTTCTTTATAACTATATAATATTAAAAACTTTCAGCATTCCAAAATTATATAAAAGTAATAGTAATTCTCTGCTGATTTTTACTATAAAACTTATACTCTTCAACTGTGATCTACCACTTAATATATTTATTTCTTTGTAAAAAAAAAAATCAATAACTTTGAAGTTTATTCTAATTTTAAATTTATTATTACCTTTATTATTGCTATAATATGAATGAACCTTGTCAACTTGTCACATCACAAAAGAGACATCCAAAATTAATGATTGATGGGTACTTGTTTGTAAAAGATTATGTATGTGAAAATACTTATTACTAGTCATATAAGAAAAAAAGTAAAGCCAATGTACTGCAAAACTCAAGCAATTACTATTCTTTTAAATAGGTTATATTATCTAAAAAAAATTGATAAATATAAACATGCTCCTCAAATTGGCAATAGTGAAATTGCTCAAGTTGTTGCTCAAGTTGTTGCTTGTATCAAACAACAAGCTCAGGATACACAAGATGCACCTCTAAAATAATTCAAAATAATATCATGACTATTCCAAAAAATCTTTTTTCTTATATGCCCACACAAGAGGCTTTTCAAATAAGAATTAAGCATATTAGGATGGCTGAAATGTTACCACAACTCCAGACTCTTGATGAGGTTAATGTTCTGGACTCATTACATTTAATCTTAAATGATGACCTATTTTTAATAGAAGATTTAGAACTTGATGATGATAATAGAATCCTTGTTTTTATTACAAAAACTAATATACAACATTTATCTCAAGCATCTTATTGGGTTATGGATAGTATTTTCATAACAGTTCCTACTGTTTTTTGGCAAATTTATACTATCTATGCACCTGTTGATGTAAATAATAATTTTCAAATTCTATCTTTTATATAGGCCTAATGAGTCATAAATCAAAAATACTTTATACTCAATTATTTCAAATTTTATGTAACTTTACAGAAGATAATAATTTTTAGCTCAATTTGACAACAATTATTACTGATTTTGAACAAGCAGCAATTCATGCATCGTCTAATACATTTACAGGTTAGTTATTTATTTTAGTAAATATGTATCTATATATGTATTTAATTTTTAAACACTAATAACAATAAATAAATAAATAGCTAACCAATTAAATTCATCTAGATGTTACAAATAAATGTTGTTTTTCTATCTTGGAAAAAGTTTGTAGTGAAAATACAAAAATTTGGATTAGCAAGTCAATATAGAACTAATATAGATTTAAGTTTGATGTTATAGTGTTTACTTGCTTTGGCTTTTCTTCCATCTGATAAAATTCTTGATGCATTTAAGATTCTAAAATGGAAATACCACCAGCTGCAGCTGATATTACACAATTGTTTGGTAATATATATGTACATGGAAATATTTAACAGTTATTAACTAATGGCAATAAATTATGTAATCTACCTCTTTTTTCATCAAAGTTATGGTTTGTTTATAGCTTTGTTAAAACTGGATTTTTATATACACAAAATAAAATTAAGGCATAACATTATCGTTGGAATATCTTAGTTGTCATACTCATGTAGGTGTCTATTCAATTATTAAAGAATTCCAAAAAGAACAACAAAATGTTGATTGTTAGATAGAAAGAATTCTTAATGAAGAACCAAAACCCAACCCTAAAAAATATACAATTAAACAAGAAAAACAGATTATAAGTATTTTAAATGATCAGTTTAATTGTACAACTATAGATTTTTTAAAAGAGATTGCATATAATCTTTCTTTTTAATCACCTTTTAATAGCAGTATAAAATTAAATAACTATGTAGCATCAATCAAATTGTAATATATATAATTATTGTAACAAAAATTTTTTATATGCATGCAATATAACTAATTATGCTATTAAAAAAATATTTGCAGTATTATGTTATATTATTATTCTCTCTTATATAAAAAATATTATATTAAATAGTGAATCAATTTGAAGCAGCCTTAAGGTAGTAGTAGGGATAGCAAATTTTTTAAAATGTAATTTTAAAAAACATGTTTGTTTGATTAAAAATTGCTTTAATACATTATAACAGAATATAATCTGAACATATTACATAGTATTTGAATCATAAAATTTTAATTCTGGATTTGCGGGTTTTAGAGTTAGAATCCAGATATATTTTAATTATCCAGATATAAATTAAATCAAAAAATATATATATTTTAAATCCAAATATAAATATTGTAAGAAGAAAAATGTAATCTAGCTGTAGGCACATAGGAAACATGACCTAGCTATAGGCATGTGGGAAATATGATCATGATTTGAATCAAGATCCTGAACTGAAGCTAAGCTGCATATAAAAGTAGCATTTAATAAAATGCTATATTGGGTTTAGCTTGAAGCAAAGCTCATTAAGATCAATTGAATAACAGCTTTATGTCATAGTCATGTAAATAAATCATTATAGCTTGTAGATTTCCCTCTCCGATACTCAATTTAATTAAGCTGTGTCAAAGCCTCCACTGAATTTCTCTTGTATAAAAGTTCTGTAATTTTTGTTAGTAAAAAAACAGTTAAGTAGAGATAAGATATCAATTATTTGTTAGTAATAAAGACATATCTTAAAACTAGAATCTTAGTAGCAATAGAATCCTTAGTTCTCATACTAAATCTTTTATATCTTTTTTTTTGAGTTGTCTTGGTCTTTGCATTACATTTGTTACATTTTAACTATGAGAGACCCAGTAGCCCCAAATTTACCTCTCACAATATATATATCTGATAAAATATAAATAAGATTAATTGAATCATAGTATATTTAATAAGTGAAAAATATTGAGAATTAACTGTCTTTTCTATAAATTCAACTTTCATTCTGGTTATATAGATTTTTCTCACCTTACTTGTATTAGAGCGATGCATAACTTGTGTAGCCTGTCAGAATGGCAGTCATAAATAAGAAAGCCATAATATAAAAAGAAAATAAATAAAAAATAAGAAAAAAAAAGCATGTTGCAAACAACTGCATAGGCTACTTGATTGCAAAAAAGAAATACTCATATGTTTCCTTCAATTAAATATTTGATCTCAAATCAAGTTCAAATCAAACTAAATTTGATTTAATCAAATTCAAATTAGATAATTATTTGATGATAACTTTGGATCTGAATAGTTAAATATTTTTTTTTATAGCTATTTTGTAATTCCTGTAACTTATATAATGATTGTTTTACAGATTGTTAAACATTAATATTAAAAAATTAAGTATACTTTACATTGTTCATACTTAGTAAATATAGATTTTTAAAAGTAACAGAAATTTTTGATAAGTTTATAACTTAAAAACACAATGTATAGATCTCTAAAAAAATCATTGTTACTTGTATAATCCACAGTTTTTAAAAATTTAGGATTTATGCAAAATATAAGATTTTCACAAAGTTTTAGATAAACCATTATTAAAGTACTGTTGATTTTTTTATAATAAATCTATCTAAAATCTTTATACTACTGTTAAAGTATTGTTGAAGTATTGCTAAAGTACTGTTAAAGTACTGTTGAAGTACTGTTGAAATACTATTAAAGTTCTGTTAGTTTTTTTATAATAAGTCTACTAAGTACTGTTGAATGTTGAAGTACTGTTGATTTTTTTATAATAAATCTATATAAAATTGCTATGCTACTGTTGAAGTATTGTTAATAAATCTATATAAAATTACTATGCTACTGTTGAAGTATTGTTGAAGTACTGTTGAAGCACTGTTAAAGTACTGTTAAAGTAAGTTGAATAAGCATTTAAATGAAAAATTAATAGTGTTAACATTATTGTTAAAATAATCTGTAAAACAGGTATAATACAAAATAGTTTTTATTAGGCCAATTTTATAAGGTGTTCTGGTTAATAGTTGCAAAAAAATAAACTACTCCAATCAACTTTTTAGATTAGCACATAATCAACAACATACATATGCATTCTACTCAATAGATTAAAAACTTCTAGCAATTTAGTAAATTTTTCTTTTATTTTATTTTAATTCTATACTTTCATAAAATTAAAATAAAATTATTAAATTAGGTTTAATAGTCATTAAAAAACCTTTACTAGAAGGTTAAAAAAAAACTTATAATATCTTTAAAATAAAAAAAATTTATCTAATGTTTTCAAATTTCAATAATAATTTCTTATTAACCATTTATTCAAACTTAATAATTTTTATTTTTATTTTAATTCTACAAATATATAATATATGTAGGATTAAAAAAAATATTATTAAAATTAAATAGGTAGCTGTTGAGTAATATTGATTAAAAGTCAAAAATAATTAGCCATAGTGCATTTTTTTTACAGATGCTTAAACTTTAAATGAGAATTACTTGACACTTATCTGATCAAATTTGATCAAAATTTTTTATTTTAATTTCATACTATCATAAAATTAAATAAAAAAAATCTTAATTGAATTTGGTTAGAGAAACGTCAAATAAACTTTGTTTAAAGTTCAGGTACCTATAAAATAATGCTATTGCAGATAATTTTTTTTAACTTTTAATTAATATTTCTCAACAGCTACCTATTTAATTTTAATAAATTATTTTTAATCCTACATATTTTACATATTTGTAGAATTAAAATAAAAATAAAAATTATTAAGTTTGAATAAATAGTTAGTAAAAAATTATTATTGAAATATAAAAACAGTATAAATTTTATTTTTTATTTTTAAAGATATTACAAGTTACTTTTTAACCTTCTAGTAAAGGTTTCTCAATAACTATCAAACCAAATTTAATAATTTTTTTATTTTAATTTTATAAAAATATAGAATTAAAATAAATAAAAATTTTACAAACTCTTTTTGCAAATCCATTACACAAAAATCAACTAAAAAAACTGTCTGTCTAAAAATGTTCATAACTTTTAATTTTACTAAGACAATCTGTTTTAGTGTCTTAAGTAAACTTGTTCAGCTCTGTGATTTATATATACTTTGAAAATATATAGATATAGTTCTTAAACTCATAGAGAAAACTGTACTGATGGACTTTAGTCCTCAATTTTAAAAAATTAACTCTCTCACAGTTTCTATTACAATAACTTGTCTTATACCTTTAATTAAAGTTGTAGTGCACACTTGTCTGATCAAAGCAAGCTCTAAAAGAAGAATTTTAACTCAATATTGACAGAACTACAGCTAAACTCATCTTTTACTCTTTTGTAAAACTTTTTTTTCGACCTTTTGTCCTTACACTATCCTTTTTTTCTCTTACACAGATTTTGTGTAACTATACTATTATTTCCCAATATATACTTTATTAATTTATATCAGAATTTTGTAACCCATCTATTAATAGAAATTTATTGAACACAATTAGCTATTTTCTTATTTGGTTCTTATCAATTTTACACAACAATTTGTGTTGCAAACTTTAGTTGTAACAGTACCTGAGTCATATTTGTGAGCCTAACCATTTTAGTCACACACCAGTATTATTTCTGTAATACTTCAATTATATAACCCTTGTTCTCATCTATTACCCTTATAAAA